TCCTGTGCCCCAAACTACCGCTCTTTCATCGAAGGGACATGCTCGTGATCAAAGGGCTGTGTGTGGACCTGGATCACTACGTCGACGAACTCGTGAAGCTTTGTCATCGTTTTACCACCAAAAAGCGCACTGCGGACACCGACACCGTCCTTGTCGAGGGGTACCTCCGCGCGTTCCTGACAGCCAACGCCACCACTCCTATTTAATAATATTACCACCATACCTATCGATAATACTTGTGGAACGTCGTCGCCCCTTAACCCCGATGCGATCGCAGCGGGTAATTCTTGGCCAACTAGTTACTACGTAGAACTACATAACTGGTAGTAGCATTCGCAAAAGCCCTTTGCTGAATGCGCATAACCCCAAGCTACTGTAGGACATATTATTGTGACTTCGCTCTATTAACTAATCCAATTTTGAGTGGATTGGATTGGCTCTTACAAAATGGACAAGTATATTCAACCAATCAGAGCTCCAGCGTGATTCAATTTGATCAGACCAACCACACGAATTTTGGAAATATATATGTAGCGAAGTCACAATAATATGTCCTACAGTAGCTTGGGGTTATGCGCATTCAGCAAAGGGCTTTTGCGAATGCTACTACCAGTTATGTAGTTCTACGTAGTAACTAGTTGGCCAAGAATTACCCGCTGCGATCGCATCGGGGTTAAGGGGCGACGACGTTCCACAAGTATTATCGATAGGTATGGTGGTAATATTATTAAATAGGAGTGGTGGCGTTGGCTGTCAGGAACGCGCGGAGGTACCCCTCGACAAGGACGGTGTCGGTGTCCGCAGTGCGCTTTTTGGTGGTAAAACGATGACAAAGCTTCACGAGTTCGTCGACGTAGTGATCCAGGTCCACACACAGCCCTTTGATCACGAGCATGTCCCTTCGATGAAAGAGCGGTAGTTTGGGGCACAGGAGACGGCTGATGTCCTCATGGAAGGACCTGTCCGAGATGTTTTGCCGCAGGTTGTGGTGGAGGGTGTCCACGTCCCGTAGCGTACATCGCACGACCCACGAGTCGCTTGGATGTTCCACGCGGATATCGAAGCCGATTTCAACGGACGGGAACAGGCCGTGATATGACTTGGACAGGCAAGTCCCGCGGACGCAGCAAGTGGCATCTGTGATGGAGGTTATGTCCTTCACAGGGTGATGGGGCATATCGACAATCGGCGAGCAAGGCACAGACACCAGTGGAAGCTGCATCGTTGCACGACGCCGCAGGTTGGAGAATAGCTGACGGCATGCCTGGCTGCGGCGACAGACCCCGACGTAATGAACTGTCCCAGTAAATCCCAAACCCGGGATGTGGCACCAATATCCGGAGGGCTAAACATGTTTTACTTTCATGGATTTGGCGCAATACACACAGTGAACGCATTGGGTAATACACATTACAGGGGTTTAGCCCGCGGGAAATGCACTGTCGCCACACCAAATTGCTGTATCAGTTGGAAATTGAATGGCAGAGGATTTCTTTGAAGTGACATGTGACAATCCCCATCCCTCAAACCAGTGGACTCAGGATCGGATTGTAGAACTGTATTGCGCATATTTCCCCTTTGCTATCAAATGAGTTGGCTCTTGAAGGAAACCTGTGGGGTCATTCCTAGACAGCTGCATACAGTACTAACTACTACACACATACTTGAGTGCTCGGTTTGATGAGCTTTGGATTACATAATGTACAACAGGTACGTCAGCTTGGTGGCGACTATTCAGCGCCTTCAACTGCATTATACAGTAGTTGACCAGAACCGTCATATTGATGACATGATCCTGTGCACTTTGGAATGTACCCAACCAGGGTATTTTGATTGGTGGAATCAATTGTCGGTTTCAGAATCCTCCAATCCGCAATCAGAACGGCAAACCTACCTTGAACCCTTGTTGGATCGCACACATCCAGCATGTGCCCACTAATAAGAGTACGATACAGTACGACCCCCGAATGCACTTTTGCTGGTGTAGATACTGTTGATAGTATGTTGAGGTAACCTTCCAATATACCACCAGGTTACTGTCTGTCTGTATCCATCATCCCTTGTACCTGGTACTACGTAAGCTTAGTATATCGCCTTGGTGGTCAGCATAGACTGTACACTCGTCGCCCAAACGTTCGAATTCGGTCTCTGTCCTCTCGTCAAAGTCTGCGATGATTGTTTTTATCCAATCGATTTGATGCCATACATATCTCGGTACATACTCGTGTGATTTTTCTCGTCTTCCGCGCCGGTTCGTTCACAAAGGCACGCAAATTGAGAAAAACAACACAGTTCAAACCATGCGCGTCTGTTCTGCGACCTCTCGACAGTGCACTCCACACAACTCAATTCAACATGACCATCCACACCAAAAGCCATAGGGTGGCTGCTGCTGCTGCCACGGATGCCCGTCTGCACTTCCACGGAGGAAGCAGCTGCGGCGGAGGAATCCCCAGCAAGCGCCGGCTGCCGCAGCACGTGACGCCGCTGGCAACGCTGCGATGCCGCGTCGAGGCCACGAGTCTGCGCCACCACACGTTCTTTCTCTGGCTGCCTCCGTACTTGGTGTACCAAGTTCGAGTCCTGGACATTGCCACCAATGATACGTGGGTCACGCACTGCACCCCCCGGGATGTCCGGCGGCTGTATCAGCACCTCGTGCGTCGGTCGATACACCCCGACACGGTGGAAGCTCTGCACGTGCTGAGGTGCCCCGACGCCCCCCTACTGCAGCCCCGGGACGGTCTCGCGATCAAAGCCATGTGCGTCGACACCGAGCACTTTCTGCACAACTTGTTGGCGTTGTGTCGTCAAACCACCACAGCGCCAGACGCCGCGTTCGTCGCGTTCTTTGTAGCGGCATTCCTCAAAACCCCTCGGAAGAACTCGATACAGGCAAGCACCCACGACGGCAGCAACAGTAGCATCATACCGAGTTAGAAACATCATACCGAGTTAGAAACATAGTACACTATACTAGTATTAATTACTACGTAGTAATATATACATGCCCCGTCACACCCTCGTACTATTACCTGGTAGTACTGTATACAGTACTACTACTACACTGTAGTAGTCGTTATGAAATGTCAATGGACCATGATGATATTTGGTTTATGTAGTGAGCTTATAGTATGGACAATTCTGTAGCACGCCTTCACTACATATTAATACTATTACGTTGCAAAACCAAGCCATGGACAGTCTTTGCACGTGGCAGTAGTCAACCTATACAGTACCACATCACGATACCATTCAACCCACCGTCCCTTTAAAAGTGTGTCGGGGTGTATGTATATTATGTGAGTTGGTACATAATCTTACGAATTTCTTGGAACGAAACATATCCCAATTACTATTAATATTTCTTTGTGCATGCTTTCGTTTGTCTTTGTGCATAAAGAAAAACAAATCATCGGAATCTGGGTAGCCAATGAAATTTCGCGGTGAGGTTTGTGACGTAGATGGCCAGTTTATGGTATGTCATACGAAGTATACGGGACAGTTTCAGGTGCACTCAAATTGGCCAATGGAATACCATGATTTTTGGAATAGCCAATCGAATCACTAAAAAAATGAAAGCACCAAAACATATACTTTGCCTTGACATGAGTGGAAATCGAAGTATACAAATGAAGGCGAAGCTGAAGTCTATTCAAGCCGATTAAATAATGAGAATAACGCCCAACCTTTCATGCAGCACTTTTCAAAATTGAAATCCCGTTCGTAAGTGACGAGTATTGTGCTTTCGAGTGTTGTGGCGTGGTTTCTCGTTGGAATTTAAATCGATTTGATTGGCTACCTCAGATGAGCTCAAAATTATAGCCAATCAAAACCTTCTCAATGAAATTCAACCAATCAGATCGATTCTGGATCGGTTTGGTCGGCGCGATTCGATTGCACCCCCTCCCCAAATTTGTATCAAATCGACAATAATAAGCTGCGCGGTTACTTTCACCATAAATTGGCCATCTACGTTACGCATAATCTTCCCGCACCTTTGGGAACGTATTTGTAATAGTAGTTACTACTGGTATTAATACATACTAAATTTAGTAGCAATATTCAAACTTCAAAAACTAAGTGTAAGTACCAAGTATTAATACTAGTTCTTTAAAAAAATATAGTTCTTTGACACGGAATATAAAAGTGTAAATAACGTTCGTAGATAACATTAGAGTATCGGTTGTTCTGGTAGCTTGCCTCCAGCCAATGCAATCATCCTCGGGGCTGCCAGTGGCGCACGATGGATCGTCCTCCTGGTTCGGTTGTGAACCAATCACCGCTCACCACGCGGCCGGTTTCGACCGTCGGAAGAGTCCACTGGGGGGGCAGGACACCAGCATTGTCCGAGTCATGAGGCGGAAACATGGCAAGGGCGCCGAGGGTATCGATGGCCCTGGCACATGCAGTGATGATCCGCGCGAGTCGCTTGGCTCGTTTCGGGTTGTTTGCGAGCAACGACGCCTGCAACTTTTCAAAGTCGTGCTGGAGCATGCGATGCCGATGTTGTCTGTCGAGCTGCAGGGCGTGCGTCGTGATGGACAGCCGCCTGTGTCGGAGGGGCTGGCTGTCCAGTCCTGTCGTTGGTGTCGGGGACGCTAACGTGATCGAGTCAGGCACGTGGACCTTTGGACTGAGGGGCGAGTAGTGGCTCGATGGTGTCGAAGGCAAAACTAGGCGGGCGAGCAAATGACGGCGTTTCGATTCAAACGATTGCAACGCGGGGGTACGTGAACCGGTTGTTGCATCTGGTGATGGTACTCGGGGCACACTACTACTAGTACTACTAGTAGTAGACGATCGAGGCGACGCAAACAAATCTTCACGCACACGTGGCTGCCGGAATGGCGACTGGTCTACAGGTGGGGTGGATTCGATAGCGGAACGTGATGATAATGATACAGGGGTAGCTGTGGTTCTTTGATGCGTGGGGGTACGACGGCGGCGGGGGTCGATATGCGATGCCGTTTTCGGTCGGTCACAAGCGGGGCTCAAGCTTGTGGGACTGGGGGCTCCATGTGTTTTGGCGTGGTCGTCGACTTGGGCGGCTACGACAGCGTTTGGCGTGGCCTGGTTTTGAGGGTTGTTTTTACTCGTGGCCTCCACGTCATTCTCCGAGGATACCACCACGATACTGTGGTTGTTATAGTTGGTTGGCTCTTTCACCACGTTTGCATGTCGTGGTGTGTTGCTGGAATCGACAGTAGTAGTACGTGGTGGCATGTTGTGAATCCAAGCGCCTTGGCTGGCAAACTCGTCTTCTACCGCCACTCTCTCAACATGTCCATCGTCGTCCGACAGGCCGCCACCGCCGCTCCATTCCGACATGTCCACCGACGATGCCGATCTCGATGCCGCCGTCTGCTTCACATCCGAACCAACTGCTGATTCCAACGGCATTTGCTTGTGGTGTCGTCCTCGGCGCCCTTGTTTGCGGAGTTTCTTCTTGAGAGCGTCCAGCTTTTGCTGGCGATGCAGCTGCTTCCTCCTAGCGGCCACGGCCTGGCGCTGGCTGAACTGGCTGCCTGTGTAGTCCCCTGCCAGGGCATCCACGAGCAGCTCGCGCCATTTTTCGTACTGCCCGACTGCATCGAACTCGAGGCGCACGAGTTTATTGGACGGGAGCACCACATCGATGGTCGGGCCGTCCAGCGAAGAAGATGCTGCCGCTGGTTTGGCGGTGAGGCCGTTGCCGCCGGCGCCGTCGTACGCGACGAGGACGTTGACCATGTCCAGCATGCGGATGCGGCATACAATGTCCATGAGCACCGAGCCTTTGGAGAAGAAGAGGAGGTCGCCGCTACCGACAAACACCAGGTACAGACGTATGAACGACGAAGTAGATGATGAACGATCTGTTGGTGACAACGCGAGCTGGACGATGGACCAGTCTTCCGTGATAACCGGCATCACTGGGATGCGATGCCGCGACGCGAGATGGTCGGCAAAGGCTTGCTTTTGCGCGTCGCTGTCAAAGCCGACGATGAACGTTGACGTGGGCGAGAGCAAGAGGAGCGGTAGGATGACGGTGGATGCTGTATCATCGTCGGCGTTGTCGGTGGTCGCGCGGCGAAATGGAAGGTGCACCATGGCCAGCATGTCGAGAAGACTTATCCAACCCTTGGATCCTTTGTTGGGAGAGTCGTCGCGGAAATAGTACAGCTTGTCGTCGGTGACTCGGCAGTACCGCCGCCGAGTCCATGTCGCTGCCTGCATCCGACGACTCGTCTACCCATACATCGATGTCATGTAACCATCCTCATGCATGCCGCATCGGAATATACCTTGACGAGGTAGATCCATCCACACCATGAAGGATTCGCGGCCTTCTTGCCCTTCTGCTTGACGGCCGTCGAGATCGACTGACCCATCGAAAGGAATGTGTCATGTGCTATGGCACGACGGGGTGCTTTGCACGACGACGGAATGTAGCACATGATACATGTTAATATGGACATTTGTATACACGGCCTGTACGTTGACAAAAATGTAACCTAGTTTAAACATCATTTCAAACGTTAAAACTCCATGACACGCCATAAAACCTCAGTGTTATTTCGTCAAGTACTTCTAGTTTAAACACTTCGGATAGGTTTATCCGGAAGAATCGTTGAATATCCGGTCTGTGCAACCACTCGATAGCTTTGACGACGGCGGTGTGGCGATGTGGGGCAACAACAACCGCAACACCTCGAGGAACACCAACACGAACAAGCCACCATGCAAATTCTACGCCCAAGGAACATGTCGGAACGGCAATAGCTGCCGCTTTTCCCATGACAATGGGGTACGTGAGACAGCTACCCGAGACTCTTATTCCTTTGCTTATAGCTTGCCTCGTAGAACAACTACCAGTCGTCCCAGCGAAACAACAGTGGCAGCAATTACCATCAACAATCCACTACGTCTAGTAACCCGTTTGCCCAGCCATCAGGCCCGTCGTCATCGTCGGGGAATCCCTTTGGCCAGACGACGAGTGGCAACCCTTTTGCGTCCACCACAGCATCCTTTGGCACTTCTCCCTTCGGGAATGCCGCGGCGCCGTCGTCGTCGCCCTTTGCGCAAACTTCGTCGGGCAACCCTTTCCAAAGCACATCTTCCGCCCCAGCCTCGACTCCGTTCGGTTCGTCTCCATTCGGCGCTCCGCCCGCCGCATCAAGTGCGTTCGGAGCGTCACCTTTTGGCACAACTGTTGCCCCATCCAGTTCTCCTTTTGGCAATCCACAGACTGCAGCATCCCCATTTGGAGGAGGAACTCCGTCACCTTTTGGCAGTTCACCACAAGCGACCTCCCCTTTTGGCACTCCAGCGTCAACCAGTTCACCATTTGGCACAACAGCTCCATCTAGCTCCCCTTTTGGCACAACTGCTCCTTCAACTTCTCCTTTTGGCACCGCGCCGCAACCCACTGCTTTTGGCACAACCTCCCCTTTTGGCAATGCTCCAACCACCTCCCCTTTTGGCAATGCTCCAACCAACTCCCCTTTTGGCAATGCTCCAACCACCTCCCCTTTTGGCAATACTCCAGCCACAACCAACACCCCCTTTGGAAACACTACGGCTTCAAGTACCCCATTTGGGTCGAATACAACCACTTTTGGGTCTACGACATTTGGCAACACCTCTGCATTTGGCAATTCGTCAAAACCAGCACCTGCTTCCAGCGTCATGTTGCCGTCCGACTTGAAGCACATGGCATCCACCGGCAATGGTGGTGACGCCAAGCGCGTCATTCCAGCAGGTACCACTATTAAAACCGCTAGTACCCCGCCACAGACACGGTCATTTATCGTGTTTGCCTGCATTATTTCCTATTTACAATTCAATTCACATGGTGTTAGATCCACGAGACCCCACTTGGATCCGTGCGCAGTTCGAAGCCCCGGCCTTTGTCTACGGCTGTGTACCCACCGAATCGCCCCCGGTGGAGTTTTGTCGTTAACAACGAACCCAACGATTTGTAACTTATGTAGTACTTTAAGAATGTCTCTGTAGTACTATTAATAATACTACTATCAATAGTATTGCCCTTTTTGGTGAAAATAGGGGTTTACAGCTAACTGTAAATTCGATTGCGTCAGATTTGAACTTAGTAAACTTATTATGTACTTCGTACTTAGTATGGTTTAGGGCCGCAACCTGAAATATTGCAATATTCTGGCTCAAAACGCCATTTTGGGGCCGAATTCAATAAAAATCGGATCAAAATTGAAACTTTCGGCCGCGTGATTCGATTCGACGGGGTGTGGAAATTCGTACCGAATCCACAATATGTCACAACTTTTGGCTATATGGACCCACGAAGTCTTGTGCTTGGCAAGTGATTTGGCATAATATCAAATCTGTATATGGACGTCGCACCAGATTCCAGTGTGTGTGCACGGCCAATTAAGATCTATTCGGCCGAGTTAGAACGCCTACACGCCCAGATTTATCACTCTTTGGCCAAAATTGCAATTTGAAACTGCAATTTCTGGGCTGGGCCTTGTTGTTTGCATGACTTCAAAATACCAACTTGAGTCCTTTGTGACTAGAACGGTGCTGGGGAGCGTGGTATTGGACTCGGAGAAGCTAGTTTTTATTTGAAGATAAATAATGCATGTTTGTAGGCTTAACACTTGCACGCATCAGTCCTTACAATGGTTGACATGCAATGATGTTAATTAATCCTCTCACCAAACTTTTGGCCGATTTCGAGGCCGATTTTGTTAGTGCTTGTTATCATTCCGACCCATCATAATACTTACTTCAAGTATTATTAATAATACCAGCTAGTCTGGTTTTGTAAAAAGTATGACTGCCTACTAACTACTATTAATACTTCGAAGTTGCAAGCACAATACTATTAATATTAATTAATAGTATTGTGACTACTATTCTAATATTAATAGTAGTATTATTCAATAATACTACGTATTAATATTATTAATATTGTGCTTTTCACTCGTTTTGGCTATTCACACCGTAAACCTGGGTGTTTGTTACATCAACCCCAGTGTTTTAGATAATCCGTAGAGTGAATTAGGATCACGTTTCGTTACAGAATGCAGTAATTATAGTGAGGTCATTTATGCAACTCCCTCGCTTTTGCACATTTTAAAAGTGCAAATCCAAGTTATATCTGCTATTCTCAGGACCGAATTGCATAATCCGCTACGTATTTTTGATTGGACGCCAGGGGTATTTTTGGCTGGTTTTTCGGGGAGGTGTTTTACTGCAATGGGAAGCTAGGCCATGCAATGACGGCGCGTTATCCTGGTGCTGTCAAGTACACTGCAGTTGATGGTAGTTAACGCTGGGGCATCTTTACGTGACATCGATGTGTGTTGACCACATCGCTTGGTTGTCAGAGTGTAGTTACTCTAGAAATACAAACCTATTTCCATCAAGGTCTACGGGATCGTTTGGCTTGGTTTTGATTGGCAAACCCGTGGAGGCGAAAGTTGCGCAGGTACCCGCCTTCAACACCAAAGTGAGCACAAGCATCATGCGTCAGCTCACAATATCCATGACGATACTGTGCTGGTGGAGAGCGAAGGAGGCGCGGGGGTTAAATGTGCGTGCGGTGCGAATATTGGCTGGAGTTTGACTCGGTGGCAACACATACGGTAGCCTCTGCATGGAATAATCGACTGCTAAAGTCGTTCGTGACGGTAGTGGCGGTAAGAATACAGTGAGGGACCTAGCCACATATCTGCGGTACAGTAACGGCGCTACTTAAGAATTCGCCACAGCATTTCTCCGTCAAACGTTCAATCGTTAATGCACCTAAAACCACTGGCCGAAGTTTTGAAAAGCACAGCAGGTGCAGCCCTTGAGGTCGCTCGTCATATGAGAAAGCTCTGTTACTTTGGTACGTAGTGTGCAAGTCAATGAGTGCCAGCAGCCCTCCAAAATGCCAAGTGCGGAACGAACTGGCAAATGCTATGACGATCAGGCCAAGGCAGGCACCCATCGCGGGGTGCGTGACTACGCAGTACTGTACAAATGTAGTACGCACTACTAGTATACGTGTAGTACGTGTTACCTGGATTTCTGTGTACACCTACTGGTTCTTCAAGGTCCCTCTGTACCTGACGCCGACAACTGGAGGCATTTGGCCAAACAATGGCTTGCTTGTACAGGTAGTACAACGTAATTGCATCAACCCGCCATCCCGGGAAGTATTAGGTTCAACCAACGATGTACTTTCGTCCCTGACTGGATAAATCCTACTTTTATTCTCCCCTTTTGCCACAGTTGAGCAAGTGGTTTCGGCGTCCATGAAGGTCTTCAAGAGTGGCTGGCTGGCTGCTTGGCGTGACGAGATCGTTTTGCTTGGTTTCGATTGGCCAACCTGTGGTTGCGTAGGTACCCCGGATGTAATGGCATCAGAGATCTATTCCCCTATATCAGTTCATAGATTCAATTCATAGCATGGTCATTTTCCTTCAAACACGATTGGTTCCTTTTTGTACATATTAATACCGTATGTTTGACCAACAATGCGATGGTACAACATGTCGTTCGTACTGTCACTCTGGCTTACTACCGGTAGTACTTATAGTACTTATACCTAACGGTACAGTACTGTGCATACATGCCTCTCTGTATACTCATTGCCCATTTGGTTGTAATTTCACCAAAGAGGATCTCAGATTGGGCAATTCACAGTCTACAACCTGGTTCTGAAATACCCTGGATTAGGTCACGAAGGATTTTCTGAGGACTTGAAACAGCTGCGAGGAAAAAGGCCGGAGGATCGTACTGGTAGTACCTTATTGATGGACACGGCGCCATATTAACTGCAGACGACGACAAGAAGGCCTAGGGAGGATGTCGCCTGTTATGACCGGACTTCCAAAGCCTGACCATGCTAATGAGCGCGCTTGAGGTGGTTCTCACTACCTCATAAACGTTTCTACAAAGTTGGCCACACCTGTTCTGATCCTGGTTCGAATTCCCTTAGCCCATCAAGGACCTGTGTATTTCATGGATTTCCACTTGTTTGTTGTATTCACCAGCAGGGACGTTTTCAGACTGTCAAGTGGTTCTCAACTTGTACAAGGCAATTTGGACAATCATAACCTACAATCGTGGAACCACCTCCACGACGACGAGCCCAAGATGCACCTTGCCGGCGAATGCTGCATGCATGCCTGGTCTTCATTTTCGAATTCTCTCAATGAAGTTCACGTCTGCTCTTGTGCTTTCCGCCGCCGCCGCGTTTGCCGCCGCGTCGTCCCTGGAAGGCGACGCCGACGACAACCGGCTGTGCCACGCCCAAACTGCGGGGTACCTCGACAAGCTAGTCGCTGGCTCGTACGTCACCAACGGGTTCTTCGACTGCTTCCGCACCCAGGAGCAGATCTTCGAGTTGTTGGACACACTCCAAAAGAAGCACCCGACGTTGATCACCCGCCACGAAGTGTCCAAGTCGGTGAACGGCCTCGTCATTCCCGGCTACAAGGTGGCCAACGGCAAGAACGCCAAGGCCATCTACGTCCAGGCGACCCAGCACGCCCGTGAGTGGGCGTCCACGTCCGGCTCCCTGTACGCTCTCGCGGCCACACTGGACGACGTGATCAACAAGAAGCCCTCCCCCCTCGACCACTATGACGTGGTCGTCGTGCCCATTGTCAACATCGACAGCTACATCAAGACATGGACCACCAACCGTCTCATCCGCACCAACGTCAATGGCGTCGACTTGAACCGGAACTGGCCGTCCCCGTACTGGAACGCCGACAACCAGCCCCCCGGGTCGCAAACGTACCCCGGCAAGGCCATCTTGAGCGAGCCCGAGACGTTGGGCATCCACAAGTGGCTCCAGGCGAACGCCGCCACCATCGACGGCGGCATCGACGTCCACTCCAACGCCGCGTCCGTCCTGTTCCCGTTCGGAGATTCCAAGGTCGACCCCGTCGAACCGTACCTGGCCAAGTACAAAGTCCTCGGCAAGGCCGTGCAAACGGCCATCGCCGGCGCCGGCGGCAACTACGACCTCGCCCAGCGCCTGTACCTCACGTACGGCAACTTCCGCGACTACACGTTCCGCAACTACACCAAGCCAGGCCTGACCATCGAAGTGGACGGCGTGGACTTTGTTGTGCCCGTGTCCACCATCCGACAAGTAGGCAAAGAAGTGTACGCCGGCCTCAAGGCGTACTCGACCGCCGCCGTCGACTTCAATGGCGGCACGACCTCCCCAACTCCCACCACCACCAAGCCGGCTTGTTAACCAGTGTGTGGCTACGGTCGTCCGTGTTGCGTTGATATTAATATTTGTTTGCTAACACATCTTGCACTAACTACTACTAAACGTGGGCCCAACCATACTCCAACCTGGATGACCACCAAGGTAGTAAGTACTGTACTGTACAGTACACTGCATCCATCGGTAGCCAAAGGGCTGCATCTGTAGCCACGGGATGGTCAGTTACATAGGCAACCTTATTAGTAGCCAGCCACCTACACATCAGATGCACAGTAGAAGGTGGCATCCCAAGGGCTTATGTAGCTACCTAGATGTTAGTTATTAAAATAGCAGCGTGAATGAATCTTCACGGCTTCGTAGCCACCCAAATATACTCTGTACATTCGTGATATGAAGAAAGCTACTTTGTGCTAGTTGTGTGTATCATGTTAGGCGCCGTCCAGCGGGGTATCTTCCCCCACACGAACGAGATACTACGACCCCCTTTGATTCCGTCCACGTACGTGTTTGCACCTTGTCACAAGATTCACTCGTTTACGTCTTCTCCGTACAAAGCCATCATCCATCCATCCTTATCCTTTCTCATCTTGGTTGTTTTACGGTGGTATTACGGCTGGAACACTTCGGTCGGTCGAAAGCTAAACCCGTCGACGTGTTCCCTGGCGCGGTCCACTTCGTCAAGCATACGCCACTCGGGCGTGTCGACAGGCACGACGCTGCGAAACTCGTCGTCGACGTACACTTCGTCTGGATCGGGCACCCATTCGGGGGGCGGCCCCCCCTTGGCTTGCAAGATGTCCCAGTTGATGCCGCTAAAGTACACGTGGTTCATAATGTCAAACGGGATGGGGGTGACGTTGGTGCTGCCGCCGAGGCGCGTGGCCACGTCACGGTCGATCAGCCCTCGGAGCAGCGACGCCACGTCTGGCCCCCACTCGGTCGGGATGTACACCGGTCCTTCGGCAATATTGCGATACATGATGGCCTTATTGGCATCCTGGAACGGCGTGCGGCCCACGTACAGTTCGTACAGGAGGACGCCGAGGCTCCACCAGTCGCAGGCGTCCGTGTACCCCGCGTCGGAACCACCAGCAGACGATGACGCGTTTGAGGAACTCACGAGTAGTACTTCGGGGGCAATGTACTCTGGTGACCCGGCCAGCGACTTGTTCGTGGACGATGGAGTTGTGACCTTACTCAGTCCAAAGTCGACGAGTTTGATGTGACCATCCCGAGCCACGAGCACGTTTTCCGGCTTCAAGTCGCGGTAAATGATGTGCAGCGAATGCAAATGCGCGAGGGCGGCCACGAGTTCGGCCGCGTACAGTTTGATCCGAGACGGGGTTAGCGTGTTGGTGGTGGCGCCGATGCCGGCAACGTGATGCGTATGCTGCTGCAGATGGTGCGCCATGATATGGTACCGCAAATCACCGCCCGACAAGTACTCCATGCCCATGTACAGCTTGTCTTCGTTTTGAAACGCAAAATGCAACGACGCCACGAACGGATGCGTTGCTTCCATGAGCACGTCGCGCTCGCGCTTGGCCGTGGCCTTCGACACGTCGTCCATCCCAAACTTGTGCACAATTTTTATTGCAAACACCCGGTTCGATGCCCGGTGCCGCGCCGACACGACGCGCCCAAACGTACCCGTCCCCAGCACGCCCAGCAGTTCAAAGTCGTCGATCGTGAGGGGCACCGGCGCCTTTTTCTGCGATCGAGATGACCGAGACGATCGAGATGACGACGCGTCGAGCTGAGACGGACGCTGGGAGGGTTTTTTGCCCGTCATCTTCATAGTACTAGTAGTACTAGTAGGATGCGCTGTGGTTGTAGTTGTGGGAGGAAAGGGAGAGGATGAGGCTGCTGATGGAAGTAGAAGACCGCGGGACGAAGCTGTCCCAGATATGGTTGGCTGCGGCGATGACACGATATCGTCGTCCCCTTCAAATTCCACTTCGTGGACCAAATCTTCTTGCTCCTACCAAAATAAATATTATTTTCAATGATAAAAAAATATTGTGTTTTTGTGTTTTTGGTTTTACGTGGACAAAGTGCCAACAACAACAACCACGAGAGAGAGATATATTGTGTGCAAACAAACGCATCGAAAAAAAAAAAGAAATAAAAAAGAGAGTCATGCACGACAAACTAATAAAAAAAGGAATAAAATAGAGAAAAGAAATAAAAAAAGAGAGACATGCACGACAAACCAATAAAAAAAAGGAATAAAAAAAGCGAAATATCCACGACAGTCGTGTGGGTTGGGCCAATGGACGTACGAGGAAACAGTGGCATTCGCGTTGCTTGTCACGTTGAATAAATGGGTCCAAGTGGTTGACGGCAAATCGGTAATACTTCCACGACGTGTTTTGAAAATACGCCGACGTCCCGCCACTCGTCCCGCCAAAGCTCGAAATCGCCGTCAATATGCCCGCGCGCAACCAGCATTGGCCTACATATACAAAAGAATTCACATATATGAATCCATTCAAAACAAAACACACACATGTACAGTTCCAATGAAACGTAGGCAAATATAAAAATACCCCCAATATTGTGGATTCGGTAGTACAAATTTCCAGACCCCGTCGAATCAAATCACAAATCGACGCTATTGGCTAATCCTTGTTTGAGTGGATTTGATTGGCTCTTACAGAAAGGAGGACACAGTATATTTAACCAATCAGAACACTCCAGCGTGATTCAATATTGATTCGACAAACCACGCGAATTTTGCAAGTTTGTAGCGAATTCACAATTACTACTACCACATTCATGTACTCATGTGTGTACCACAGTAGGATCCAATTGGGGGTTTAACGGGAACACATGCACACACATGGAAAAAAGGGTATAGATGGTATAGTATATAAACATATTTATGTCAAATCACTTTCGTCAAAACTTTACGTTGTCAAATCTAGTCCACTTTGGACTTTTGACTAACAGTAGAATCGAATGGATTTGACAAATGCAGTTGAGAATGTCCTAGCCAATCAAAGTGCACAATAACGAGAATTTTCAACCAATCATCGTGTAGTATACTTTGGCCCCGCAGTTTAGCCATTGCGTTCATCTGAAATTTTGTATACTCGAATCACCTGCCAAGTCCAAATTTCAACGAGTAGGACAATAGCCAATCAAAGTGTAATGACGAAACATTTCAACCAATCATCGTGTAGTAGTCGCCTAGTTTGACGCGACAGTTTGGTCCAGTGAAAATGTTCAAATGTATATACCATACCATACATTGAATCAGCTTCAAATCGCACTCAAGTCCAAATTTCAGCGAAAACGACGACAATACATAGTCCCGTTCCTACTTTATATACTGCACAAATTCATAACGAAACGTGTTTACCTAGCAGCAGGGCTTCTTCTTCGGTGCTGCATGTGATGCCGCCCTTCATCGGCCGATTCAGACCATGACGAAGCATCCACTCGGTGGCGTGGCGCCCCGAGAAGCTCTTTGGATGACACTTCAGGTACAAGTAATGGTCCTTGACGCTGATTTCCGCTCGCATTTGCTCGGCCGCGAGCCACAGTTGCTTCCGCGACGGCTCCCGGATAATGCGACACGACAACCGGAGCTTTCCCTGCACGCGCTTCATACCCGTGTGCATCTGCAGATCGTACCTACCCACGTACATATGAAGGATGTTGCGTTGTATGACGTCTCAGGAAAGTAAGGTCATATATCAACGTCACAGATATATTTGAAATATATTTGTTTAGCAACCACAGTAAACGATCCATTATTTCACGACAACATTATTATTGTTGGGATTATTCATGAAACAGATACAACCAAAAACCAAATGTTGGCTAAAGTATGTAGCCAATCACAACATATTTAATTAGTGTGTGAGACTTCAATTAGTGTGCTTCCTAACTCGTTCTATACAAAATTCAGGTTATACCAACTTGTCAGTACAAAGGATCGATCGATAGATTTGGCGAATTAGCACAAAAGTCCAAGTTTTGGGTGAACGGATAATATAAAATTAAGTAACTAGCATGGCAAGAAATCGAGATGCACTTAAACACGAGCATCATGGCACGGGGACATACCAGGACGTGAGCTCCATGCCGCTGGTGTCGAGATCGTCTAGCGCCAAGAGCAGTCGACCCAAGTCCTCGGTCTGGACTTGCCCCTTGTCCTTGCACTTTACGAGCACGTACTTGGCCTTGCGGAGGTTCACCGTCGTACCAAATGTGTACTCTTCCGCGGCGGCCGCGACACCGATGCCGAGGGGCATGTTGCTTTCGTTGGAACTCTCCATGCTTCGAAGCACCGCCGCCTTCAACGGACTCCACATCGGGTTGTTGGAAGCTGCGTGATAGACTTTCCCGACGGGGGTGCGTCGTTTTTCACCCTTGAGCTCCTTCAGATCCTTGTCCAGCAGCACCAGTGTGCAGAAGGGATATCGCGCCGTCGGCAACAAGTCCTTTCCCTCGATCGGGGTCAACTTGAGCAAATACCGACGCACGGTTTCCACGTGCACAACCGCCGACCCGTTCCCTGGAGACGTCCATACCGATGGCGTTTGCTGTGGATACGCAGGGGAAGACTTGGCCTTGGATCGCCTTGGAGGAACTTCTACACCCACGTAGCATGTCCCCGATCAGCCTCAATGCATCAACATCTACAGAGGTGATGGCTTTTCTCTGTACCTGCGTCCATGATATTATGCTGCGCAATGCCAGTTTCAAACTACGTGTTATCCGGATGATTAAAGTGAACTTGCGTTTATTAAGAAATGCTGGTCGCACGTTTCCGGATAATCCGATTGGCGTAGGAGGGTAGACATGTCCATTATTCTTGATGGGAATAAATTTGCACAACAACGACATGACGACGACCCAGGGCCTGGATCTCGCACCTGGTTGTAGTACCATTCATATCACACCATCCCCTTGCTAACCGTACAGTGTCCTTTGCAGGACTCGAGATACTGGTAACGTTATACTCGACAAAGTCCATTACATTATCCCATCGACGAAGAAGTGACATCGCTCCTCCTCTCAGTCGCGATTTGATTCGGCAAGACAAATAATACAAATGTAGTTTTAGCCAATCACATGCAAAATATCATCTTTATGACGTCGGAGTCGGTGGAACATAGGACCCGCCGCCCTGGGTGACGGCATTCTGTACAATCTAATGGTCCAATACTATGAGGTTGGTACACTACGGAAGAAGCGTTGTATACCTGGGTGGCGACGTCGGGGGACAGATGCGAGAACGCGTATGTCCCAGCTTGGGCTGCCAAATGCGAATTGGCCTTGAGCACCTGAGCCGTTTCCTACAGAGTGGTCACATGAGGAGACACGTATTGACGATGCACGCAAGATATCGTACGTCTTCACCCGCCGTGTATCCTGTGGTGGGGTCCATGTCGGCGCGGAGGGCGCCGCTGCGGAACGACGGATGACAGGTCATCACAATCAGGTTGAGGAACGCATTCGTGCACATGAGTACTCCTGCTAGCTTGGCCATGGCGTCACGCATGCCAAAGTTCATAAAACCAACGCTACAGCCGCATCGTTAGCATATTGAAGAACATAAGGACATGGTCAGCGTACAAGAAGATGAACGCCGTGCGGCCACGGTAGGTGAAGAGGAACCCAAAGAGTTGGCGAATCGTGGGTTCCATGGACGAGAAACGGCATTCGAAGGCCAACAGAAGCAGCGCGAATATGCTACACAAATGTACATATGTAACGATGGGAAAAACATCATCATGGGTGTTGGATGCGTACATGACATAGACGGCGATGAGGAAACTCGTGACGTTGAGCATGGCGAGATCAAAGAGACCGAAGAAGCCCGTCAGCGCTTGGAAGAGGGCAAGAATGACATTGATGTAGCGCATGTATCGCAGCAGCACGTGCGTGTCCCAAGCCATGATGCTGTCCAGAATCATCGTGAGATCAACAGAGTTTACGTGGGTCGCAGTACCTGTGCCACCAACCCACGGGAGAGTAGGACGCATGTGACGTTCGTGGAGACGCTCCATCGTAGTTAGACTGGAAGGATGTTTGCGATTCCGTGTGGCCTGTATGCGGAGGATCATACAGAGGCGCCTTCAGGTCGGTAGGATGGTTGTGCATGTCGATTCTTCTTCAAAGATCCTACCACGCTTGATCCAACACTACATTTTTTTCTATTATTTTTCGAACCAAAGCAATATTCACTTGATGTTTGTATTAGGTTGGACGGGTGAAAAAACCTTCGACGATAATAATATGATTCAATAAAGAAATTTCATACTATTACGTACTACTTCGAAGTATTTATATGGATTTCAACAATTATATTATATTAACCATACATAGTATCCAAAGTTGGTATTAATATTCAATGCTGTCCCGAAAGTCTTTAGTATGTACACAAAAAGTCAATACACTTCACATTTGTATGCCATGAGACTCTTCACAAAAAGTAGGCTACGCACAGTACTATAGTAAAGTACGATTAATAGTTATACTGATTGGTAATACGGGTTAAGGTGATGTCGTTGGAGCCGTTCCTTCAAGGTTGAGTTGCTGGAGTTGCTTGTACAATGCGAGCAATTGCCGGGGATCGGGTGTTTCTTCCCCTTTCAATGCCTTCATCGCCCGCAGAACTTCATCTTGGATGATGCTGTCGGACTTCAAGCTCGACGTGTCATCGGAAGAATGCTGGACAGATGATGGAGGCGGGGGCGGCTGTTGGGGAAACAAGTCATCACGGAATGGACGGGGGTCGTCACGGGGGTTTGACGGGGGAAATTGGCGGTCATAATGCTGCTGTTGTTGTTGGGGGTGGTGGTACTCTCGCAGCAAATAATCCCGGTGGTCGTACTCTCGTGGATCTCGGGCAAAATCCCTGGGATCCCGATCGTATTCGCGGGAATATTCCTGTTGGTAGTCGCGGGGATCGCGGGCATACTCCCGGGGATCACGGGGGAACTGGAGCTGCGGCGAGTACCGAGGAGCCATGGACGACTGCTGTGGCGCACGGGGAATTTCCCCATGCTCGTCGTCGGCAAAGTCTCGACGATGGTCAAAGTCTCGGGGGTCATACAATCGGCCTCGAGGGTCGACTCCACGTGGGTCACGAGCCGCCATGCGAAGATGTCGGGGGTTAACAGGAAAGTCACTTCCTTCGACTGAATAGTCACGGGGAAGATGATCTCTTGGATCACGGGAATCATAAGGATAAATCCTTCGAGCTTCCATCCCGCGAGGTGGAGGAGGAGGGAAGGGATCGACGCCATAGTCAGTAGAACTATTATCACCGATGTATCCACGAAGGTCGTCCACCCCCCCACGGCGGCGGTATACGTGCGCGCCGTCGGGGTCGTGCATTCCAGCGTTGATGGGCTGCTCGTCATATCGTCGTCGTTGAGTGGGGACCTGCTGCCCTTGAAGTAGTTGATGTCCATTGTTGGGTGCCCATAGTTGGTTGCTGTACTTTGCCACGTGGGTAGGAGGAGGTCCGTGTCGCCCAGCAAGTCCCCCTCGACCATGTTGTGGTTGGAGCGACGACGGGCCGTGGAGAAATGGTTTGGCTGCATATGGGTCGATTTCAAGGATCTGGCGGGGCGAGCGATGGTGGTACACTGCGCCTAGGGGGTTTATATGGCGAGACGGGTACACGAGTTTGGCCAAGGGAGGCGCCGCGTGCGAGTATTCCGAGTACGCACTCATCGCGTCGTTGTCGTCGTCGCTTTCTCGCGTAATGAAAAGCCGATCATCATTGTCTTCTTGGCGTTCATCGGCGGGTTTGCTACCGTGGCTATATTCCCCTTGAGCTTGGAGCGGCTGCTGTGGTGGCCCACGGGGGTTCGTGGCCGAATCAAACTCCCCGTCGTCCGCCGTCGCCCCCATGATGTACATGTCCCGCGCATCGTGTATCCTTGGCGAAGTATTGCTTGCATTCGAGTCGTCCACACGTGGCGTTGATCGGGCCGCCCCGTGCGCGGCGTGGGGGGATTGGCTGCCCCCACCAGGACCAGAAGTGATGTCGTCGTCGCCGTCTTTGTGAAGTCGAATGCTCAACGAATACGGCGACAACGGGGGCTGTGGTTGTGGTTGCGATGATGATGTTGGAAGGGGTTGGTGGTCGTCGTATCGACTAAGACTATTGCGTTGTTGGGTACGGTTGTGGATTGGGAGGTTGTTTCGAGGTCCCCATTGCGGAGACACCGTGGACAGATGAGATGCCCCTTGGAGACTGTACTGTCCATGATGGGCGGGATACCCTCGTGATGGCGCCAGGTGCTGCTGCTGGTAGTGTTGGTGTCGTGCCCTATCCATGGCAGGGGGGTAATAATTTTGACCGCCGCTGCTTCCTTGCGGCTCGCTGCCCGACAACGAAATGGTTTCTTGCTGCATCGAGTCTTGGGCACTCGTGTCCGATCGTTCATCTACTCAAGACCAAAACATGTGTCAACACAACCACACATTTTGCACAGGTCCAGTTGTTGTATTGTCAACTCGATATTCAATCAAAATGCGCTGCACGAAATCGATATATATATCGACCAATGAAAACCCAGATCACGAATCAAGTAGCCAATCAAATCCACTCTTCGACCCGCTCAACCTTGAATTAGTGTGAGGCTTAAATTAGTGTGACAAAGGTTCCATCTGTACAGTCAAGAATCGAACGATAGATTGGCGAATCCATCAGCACAAAAGACGACCAAATGTTGGGTAAAAGACAACAATACCGGAATATTCGGACGACGACGCCACCCCCGACACTGCGACGCTGGAGGCCACGCCGTCCTTGGGATAGCCGTCGTGGCCGCCGCCGGTGATCGAGCATGCCGAGCAGACCCGGATCATCTTGCGGCCGGCGTTGGTCGTCTTCACTTGCCAAAACTTGTTGCACTTGCCACACACGACTTCGCCGCACTTGCGACAGCGTACTTTGGTGGAAAACGTGCCAAATTTCGACTGGCATAAAAAGCACTTGAACCGCGACGACTTGGGCACAAGGTCCTGATCGCGCAAGTACGGCTTGGCGCTGAGCCGTTTTTCGCGCAAGTACTTGTCAAAGTCGCCAATCGACCGCGCGCGCTTTTTCATGCCGATTTTCACGACCCACTGCGGCACCTTGCCCTTGAGGTCGATCTGTAGCGCATGGATCACCTGGAGATACCCCGGTCGCTTGGACTCGTGCACGACAAACCCCGATCGAATAAACGTCGCGCGGATCGTGCCCAAGTGACCTTCGAAGTCGGGGCAACATGGAAGGCTGATAGATGTCATAGATCGCCCCCACCCGCGCTTCCCGTTAATTTCAAAGTCGTCTTGGCACTATAATAGCCATAGAAACTGTGAGAACATTGATTTGAACGCTTTTTATCGTTCTGGAGAAGGTACAATACACGAGCTCAAGAAAGGACAGCCCCACGTTGTACCAACACAATGTACCTACCTCCAAATAGCACAAGTCGCGATTCGCCAAGAGGGGATAGGGACTACCGATAACAACCCATCGAACGCCCATGAAATGGCGCGGTCGGTCGGGGGTCGCCGTGGAAATTGTATACAAATGTGCGGAATCGAGCGTGTCCTTGGCAAACAACTTGGTGTACTCGGCATACGCTTCCTTCGTTTCTTGACGGAAGAGCGCGGCGATTTCGTCAAATGTGGCGAGGACTTCGGTGACCCCCGCGAGGAGCGTCACCTCGGTCGGTCCATTTGGGTCCTCGCCGTGGAAAATCTGGATTCCATTCTCGTCCGAGTCCATAGTCCACTTGATCGCCCCGCTATGGAGCTTGGAGCTGCGCACAAGGTCAATGAGGGAGTTCTCTCCGAGGTTCACGAGGTTGGCTCGTTCGTCCTTTCCCAACGGAGGGCAGTAGATGAAGTCCTGCGGCACCGGGAACTTGCTCATGACGACTACCTCTCGCGCGCGAAATCCTGCAATGACTCGTCGATGGAGAGGCGACACGGAGAAACATCGAATTTCGAAGTGGGTTCCACACCCACGTTTTCATTACCACTGTTACTCATAATAATATATGGTGGGTACAACAACATTGGACGTTCGTTTTCTGGTTCGTACCAGAGGAACTTGCGTACAAGGCTTCGCTGTGGTGTGTCATGGCGATCTATTCAACTACATACACCGTCAGCCTGCATGTATTTGCCCCTGCAGAGGCACGATGTCACTGTTCGCTGCACGTACAGTACTATTAATAGTAGTACTTAGTGTTCAGAAGGTGGTTTGTCTTCGAACTTCGAAATTCATGGATACAGCCGCTTTGTGTCTGTATGTTTTGACACATGTTTTACGTGTTTGCGTTAAACTCTATCAATCCAACTATAGTAGCCTACACGTACCACTACTGTACATATAGTATGAAATCTCCACCTCCCTTTAGAAACCTACTGTAACGTTATACTCCTACGACTCCTACTACAAATCTACAACAACTAGTCACTGCTAGCTTGAAGGACCCTTGTGGTCACATGTACAGATTGCAACAAGGTTACCCGCCTGCCTGTGTACTGTATACAAGACGACAAACAGAATTAAAAAACGTATGCGTTTTATACGGAGAGTCAGGATGCGAGTGCTGGACGTACGTACCATATGGTGGCCAATCAATGGTCACACAACAATTGAAGAGACAATAGTAGTCCCATGGGTCACGGAAGTAGTACTACTAACTTACTACTCCAACTACTAGTAGTAGTAGTACCTAGCCCAGCTACTATTATTAGTAAACACTCAATAACGTTATCGCAGCTTTACAAGTATCCAGACACCGTAATCATGCGGCTCGGGCAGCCACCGCCGCCGGTTTGAGTCCCATCGATTCCATGTCCCTGAACAGCGCCGCCATGGCGTCGGCATCCGCTTTGGCCTTGGTCGACCGAGTGTCCTGCTGCTGTCGGGGCCCTTGTTGCTTATCTTGGTATGAATAGTAACCATCCCCTTGATATGGACGAACATGCACTGGACATTCATCCTGGTCGTGGTACGTAGTGGCGGGGAATTCTTCCCCATCACGTCGGACAGCAGCAGCCTCGTCATCATACAGATCGTGGTCGTATCGGGGGTCGTGGGGAAGAATCCCTGGGGTTGGTGGATAATAGCCTTCCCCACCAGCCTTGCCGTACGCACCTCCTCCTTGTTCGTAGTACCCTCCATCATATCGATACATTTGGTGGAACGCTGGGGTATTATACTGGTCGTGAGGGTAGTAATACTCCTCGTGATACCCTGCTGCCTGTTGTTGCTGGTGGTAGTCGTCATAACAATCCCCATGGGATGATTCATAACTGTACTGGGCCGGCCCATCACCAACCGATTGGTCTGCGACGAGGTTGGACGACGACGGGTACTCTGGCGTGGACGCTTTCAAGTTCCCCGTCGATGCATACGCTAATTGGACGCTTTGGCTGTATATGTACTCGTGTTGCTGTACATTTGAGTGATGATCATCTGCACCAACTTGCACGGCAAGGGACTCTGGTTGTTTACGCGATCTCCCCCCGGTTGTTGTGGTTGGTAGCTTATATACGTCGTTCGAGTAGACAACACCACAGTCGTCTTCTCGACCACGTCGCAGCTTCCCTTGTCCTGGCGCCGATTTGCGATCGAACGGTGTCACAGATGGTTGGATCTGGGCCTCCATGACGAGGCCGGTCATGCTGGCATTGTCGTGCAAGGGTCGGACAGATAGCTTTTGATTGATGGTTCTGCCGCCGATGGAACAGCCAGTGCATACGCGCACATGCACACGGTGACCTAAATATATATCCTTGAAACCTGTACGCCAATATATATATATCACAGAAATATTTTGATGTCAATATATATTATTATACAACTTCCCTTGTGAAATGGAAAGTGAGAAATTTTTTGAAAATATATTCTACGACCTATAACTCTGGATGCCATGATAGAATGAGCAGACTATTGCTGGAAATATATCATGTACTCCGAGTAGTAGTAGTAGTAGTACAGAGAACCGATTAGGAACTCGCGCACAGTGGTATCGACACTATTTTTTTCCATGGAGCATTCATAAATTCCGACGTCAACCAATAGTATTTTTTTCATATTTTATATTTCAACCAATAGTATGCTCATAAAAAGTTTGTAAATTGTATGATTGGATTTAATAAAATTAATCAGATTGATCTGATTGCAAAATTATAATTCGTACTCGGAATCACAACTTGCACATTCGCATACAATTCCCCATATATTTCAAAATACCACTGTGCGCGAGTTCCTACTCGGTTCTCTGTAGTAGTAGTAGTAGTAGTAGTAGTAGTAGTACAAATTGGACAGTTGCAAAAACACAATTCTGTCACAAAAAAGTCAAAATTCAACGTATTATATTATTGTATATGTCCGATTTGGTACCCAAACACACAAAAGCTGTCGTTTGAAAAAAAATGTCAAAATATTTCTGAAAAGTCTCAAAAAGAGGAATTTGTTTGTGGCAGTCAGTTTATTAAAATAAAACCAAATAGTTGGTAGAACGTTGTTTACCGTTCATGCTGACGTTCCAAAACTTGCTGCACGAGCTGCACACCACCTACAATATATATATATATATTCCCCTTGAATACCGTCTTCACCTGGGAAGTATGGGACGAATCCCAATACAATATGTGATTCGATTGAGATGAATGGATGAAAGAGTTTGAATGGGAAGATTGGGAAGATTCCCAGTCTTGTCATAGCACACCAAGTACATACACATCCCCCACTGCAATCAGCGGGGAAGAATCATGGGAAGAATCCCAATACAAGAGTCGACATGGATGAGGACGATTCCCAGTATAGGATTCGATGGGGACGAATGGGAACAAAAAATCCTAGGCGTGTCGTATATCTATATATATATATAAAAATACCTCGCCACAACGCCGACAATTGTGCTTTTTCGTAAACGTGCCGTGCTTTTTGTGGCAAAGAAAACACTTGGATCGGGCAAGTTTGGGCACGAGATCGTGGTCGGCGAGGAATTTTTCCCCGCCGAGGCGCTTCTCCCGCAAATGGTGGTCGATTTCCCCAATAGACCGCGCGCGCCTCTTCATGCCGAACTTGATGACCCAGGATGGAATGTTCCCTCTGAAGTCGACTTGAATCGCATGGATCACCTGGAGATATCCCGGTCGATTGGATTCGAGGAAGACGTAGCCGGTGCGGTAGAACGCCGCGCGCACGATCCCGAGCGAGTTTTGGAGGTCGGGGCAGCATGGGAGCTTGATGGAGCTCAGGGCGCGCGCCCACCCCCGCCGTCCATTCATTTCGAAATCGTCTTGGCACTAGAATATATGTATATATACGTCAGACGACATCATGTTCGAGCAACGGGAACGAGATGGGAGTACCTCCAAGTAGCACCAGTCTCGGTTCTTGATCAAACTGGACGGAGACTCAACACATGTCCATTTGACGCCGATGTAATGGCGCGGACGTTGTTCCGTCGGCATCGCCAACGTGTACAACGACGCGGCGTCGAGCAAATCCTTGGCAAACATACGCAGGTACTCGCGGAACAACTCTGTGGTTTCCAAGCGAAACAGTGCCGCGGCTTCCTCGATCGTCGCCATGACTTCGGTCGTTGAGCACAGGACGCGCATATCCGTGGGTGCGGTAGGGTCTTTCCCCGAGTAAATCTGCAGCCCGCCCTCGTCCGAGTCGAGCGTCCACTTGATCGGACCGCCTTCAATGCGCGAGTGGCGCACGAGGTCCAGAAACGACTTGCGCGCAAGGTCTGACATGTAGCTGCTTTCTTCCGGGGTCAACGGTGGACATCGGAAGAAGTTGGGCGGCAGCGGAAACTTCCCGGACATGACGATGATCGAGGCTCGCTGCGGTCTTCACAATGGTAACAACAATAATAATGGTGTAATGTGTTACTTCAATGTGTTACTAGTACTTCACAGTGCATACGAGAGAGTGAAGGAGAGTGTGCTCTCAAATATTTGCATGTTTTGTATTGAGTGTCAATGAGAGTACCACCGCCTTATTCATGATGCTGACAAAAAAAAGGGGTCGGTCGGTCCCTCGAAGGATGGGGGGCTGATCGAGGAGGGCTAGCGCGGTATATTGTGCCACTCATCGGCAATGTTTGTGCGGAGGATGCGGCGGTTGGTGGAGTTGGCGCCCAAGTTTTCACCGTGACACCACCACCAAAGGAGCAATTCCCTGATCACAACAGTCTCAGTGTTGCTTACAACGCTATTTATTTTTTCCTATAATGCCATTCACAGTACAGTCATGCAAAAGTAACTTCACCAAAACACACACATTCCAGCTAGAGAGAATGTAGCACTGGGTAGCGAGCGATAGCTAACCACTGGAAATTGCAGCTCAATGGTCCGGGGGTTCCGAAGATACAACGCTCATGGTACTTTTGAAGGGATATGACGATGGATGAAACAGTGCAGCTGTTGATATTAGGGAATTATATTACTCCATCATGGAGTTATTAGAACCCGGTAGCAACAAGGGAAAAGTGTAGCCGTTGCTGAATAAACCAAAGTCCTTCCACGTCTTTTCCACCTTACTAGTACTACTTCAGCCGTTGTGATCAAGTCATGACAATGAAACATTGAAACGTTACTATTGTCTATTGGATGTCTTACTACTGTATTGTCAATTAACAGTAAATAAGAGAAAGAACCGCCTAAGCCAATGAAATCATGGTCTGTCTAATTTCTGCCAATCCAAAGTACTGATTCTATTAAAAGGTTGGGCAAAACCTGATATATGCAAAACATTGTATAGTATAGATTGAACAAGCTTAAACAGGGGTCAAATGTTACTTCGAAGTACTGTAGTAGTGTATTGGCTACTGGTATTTGGCTCAATGGACCAAATTTGGGTGAAAAGTACAATAACTATTGCAATTCACGATTGTAATTCAAACGAGTATGGTCATGTTGTTAAGTCTTGTCGAAGTGCAATGATTGGCTGTTTTACAACCATAATTATATGTTGGCGTAGTAGTGTGAATACACAGTTAAATAGTACGCCGTAACCAATACTAGTATTTGATTACGTTCTCAATGAAGACGACTTTATCATAGAATAAAGTAAACGACGATGTCAAATTATTCATCATTGGATTAAGCCATTTATTTATAGGCAGGCCATGGGACGATGCACAGTAAGTTACCCACTCTGTCACGGACAAATCCGAGTTTTACCTTGTTTAAAGTATACTTCATATGTGATTCTAGTTCTGAAAATCGGGATTTAGACTTCACTCATTTGACGGGAAATCCCGAGAATATGGTAGCAATCCAATGAAAATTGGCAGGGCTGTGACGGATACGGTACATTGTCCCGTGGCCTGCCTGTCAATATAAGTAGATAGAGCCTATGATTTTAAACAGGCATTGTGGCGTAAACGGCAGTACACACTTCCTCAAAATTTCAGCCAAAACGGACATAAATTGACAAAAACTCCTGCTCGTCGCCCAAACATACAGTAGGTTGTAACCAGTTCCGAACCATTTGGTTTAAAAGGACAATATCGAGTTATTGTCCTTTTCGCTGAAATTTGGACTTGATGACAGTTGATTCGAGAATCGATGTGTGTCAGTTTTTAAGCTAATTTAATGTACTCTATAAATTAATTTGACGATGTTCGTCTTCGTTGGGTCAAACCACTGGGCCAAACTATTTTGATCGATGATTGGTTCAAATATCTCGATCGTGTAATATGATTGGTTAGAACATTCTCAAATACATTTGCCTAATTAATTCGAATGTGCAAATTGGAACGGATTTGACAATAATACCACTCAAAACCCCAATGAAGTTGCAGGTGATTGGTTGAAGATACTGTATCATAGAATTGTGAATTCGCTATAATCTTCCAAAATTCGCGCGATTTGTCCAATCAATATTGAATCACGCTCGAGTTCTGATTGGTTGAATATACTTGTCCTTTCTGTAAGAGCCAATCAAATCCACTCAAAATTGGATTAGCCAATAGCGCCGATTCGTGATTCGATTCGGCGGCGAGATTCGACTCGACGGGGTCTGGAAATTTGTACCGAACCCACAGTAATTGTTTTCTACCATTCATGATCATGCAAGCCGCGAGCCGTCGACGCCTCATAAATCCACCAGTGTGGCCCTCGCGTGAATTGTACTCGGTCTGCACTACCTCCCAGTGGTTTTCGCCAAGCGGCAAGTGATTTTCAATGCTGTCCAGTAACATCTGAGTCTCTCTGGTGAGCTCCATCCTTTGCCTCTTCCTTTTTGTTCCATAAGAATCAACATACATTACTATAAATTACTCCGAGTAGTTATGATTGTAGTGATCTGATCACCGAATGGCAGGCAGCTCACGCCTGTGGCGATAGCTGCTTCAGTTTCATTGCGGAAAACACCTTGATTTGCCAAACGAGTTCACATAAAACAATTTGTTTGCCATAACGAAAACGCAACTACGTGTTTTACGAAAGTCCATCTAGAAGAACCAACCAATCATCGCTTTACAGTATGACTATGAATGAGCGTTAAGCAACACACCCAGTCGTTATTCAAGTTACTTTACAGTTTTAACTGTACGCACTAAAATAACCATTAAAATCGTTGTTTTAGTCTGAGAATTTTTAAACAACTTGGACTTGCCAAAACAGATGAAAAGCATATTTATAAAGGTATTTATTTATAAAGGTACAGAATATTTTTCTGGTAAGTCACTGTATAATCCGGAGTACATGTTGCCGTCACTTCGATCCCATAGCTCTTTAGCCATACCTCATGACGAAATGAACATTGGACGTACACATCAATACCAGTAGGGGGGAAGAAAGCGCTACCGAATAACTCCAATTTGACCACTCCGCCCTACCCCTGGTCGTACATATAATTCTAAATCCCAGAAGGTGAGGGAAATGGTCATATTAAATCGAACTCGATGGAGTTGATGCCCCGAAACCACTACACGATCGGTTTGATTTGTCTGGTTGACAGAGCCCTTCTTCGCGCCTTCGCTTGTGGTTTACAGTTAGTCCCCACTCCACCTTGCTCGATGGAAGCGCACTTTTCTTCGAAACATCAAAACTGTTTCATTATCAAGGCGTGAATAGATCTTTTTTAAATAACATATGAAAAAGATGATATGTGATGTTATATTTGGAAGGAAATATACATCGAAGTAGCAAACAAAGTTAGTCAACTCGGATGTTATATTTGAGGCAGTCACTTTCAAAGTCACACAGCATGGGCCAAAATAAACCGATGATTCAGGTCTCGTGTTCATCAATATTTTAAAAATCGAGTTTTTTACTTGCAAAGTAGGTTATATTTACGTTTTTAGGAACCTTTGAGGACTCGTCACTCATCTACAATACTGTACTGCAATCGCCACATTTCTAGCCTGAACGATAGTGTTTAACTAATTTTGCGATAACGTTATCTATATTCATTACACCGCTCATAGACAAGCCATCAGAGAGATATCAAAGTCACTTTCGTAGTTAGCTAACAAACTTGATCATAAATTATGACTAACTTCAAGTCATATTTGAGGCAATGTTATACAGAAGTATTGCACATACTACTACGTAGTATTGTCGATTTGATACAAATTTTGGGGGTGGACCAAACCGATCCACAATCGATCTGATTGGTTGAATTTCATTGAGAGGGTTTTGACTGGCTAATAATTTTGAGCTCATCGGAGGAAGCCAATCAAATCGATTTAAATTCCAACGAGAAACCACGCTTCAACACGAAATTTCACTCGAAAGCACAATAACGTAACGAGGCAATTTATGGACACCTTTTTTGTCGAAGATAGCTCGAAAATATGTTGCAAATTTTATCTATTTTTTGATTATTTTATATCCCCATAAAGCTTAGGTTGTGATTGATCGAATGGAACTTGTTTCATCAAGTTTAAGGAGGTATTACAGCAGTTAGGTGGCTTTGAAGTTTTGATTGTTCATTAGGGAGATTTCGGAGATGAGTATTTATCCTTATCCTTAAAATAGCCTCTGAAGCTTTATAGGGTTGAGGAAAACTCCGGAACTTAGTACCAGAATCCATGAAATGGGTCCATTTTGGGGATTCGAATCCTCGACCATGATTGGCCAGATCTGTTGACTTGTAATTGGCCAGATCTGTTGAATTGGTGCAACGCTTTTCTGTTGTTGGCACTTCGAATCGAGCGTGGAGGTGGAAGCGTGGAGGATGACCCACATGAAGTGGAGGTCGATCAGAGGCGCGGTGGGAGCGAACAAGTTAATGATAACCTCCATCTTTATGCATAGTGACGTAGAATCATCACATGTACTGAAGTATACACTTGTAGGAACTACGAAAAGCAACTTAGGCGGCGCCCGACGCCGCAGCTTAGTCAGCCGCGCCTAGCAGTATATCCGACCGGAGTTGTACCAGCGGCTATCAACGATATATTAAAAGCACCAGATAAGTACTAGTGTAGAAGCACTCATCTGCAGCTGGTGCTTTGTCAAGGCGTGCTAC